CGGACTTACGCTCTTCGTCTAATCTCTTCCAGGAATTTCTATTACATCACCATGTTGCGGGATCCGGTGTCCCGGTACCTGAGCGAGTGGAAACACGTCCAGAGAGGGGCCACGTGGAAAACCTCCCTCCACGTGTGCGATGGGAGGAGCCCCACCCCCGATGAGCTGCCTACCTGCTACCCCGGGGACGACTGGTCTGGGGTCAGCCTACGGGAATTCATGGATTGCACCTACAACCTGGCTAACAACCGCCAGGTGCGCATGCTGGCCGACCTCAGCCTGGTGGGCTGCTACAACTTGACTTTCATGAACGAGAGCGAGAGGAACGCCATCCTGCTGCAGAGCGCCAAGAGCAACCTGAAAAACATGGCTTTCTTCGGGCTCACGGAGTTCCAGCGGAAGACGCAATTTCTCTTCGAGAGGACATTCAACCTCAAGTTCATCTCCCCCTTCACGCAGTTCAACGTCACGCGGGCTTCCAACGTGGAGATCAACGAGGGCGCCCGCCAGCGCATCGAGGAGCTCAACTTCTTGGACGTGCAGCTGTACGCGTACGCGAAGGACCTCTTCCAGCAGCGCTACCACCGTACCAAGCAGCTGGAGCGCCAGAGGGACCGGCAAAAGAGGCGCGGGGAGCGGAGGCTGCAGCGGGAGCACAGGGGCCGCCGGTGGCCCAGACAGGACGGGAACCCAGAGGGGGCCGTCACGGAGGACTACAACAGCCAGGTGGTGAGATGGTGACCCCCTGCCTTCCCCTCCTCTCCACGGGAGGGGGAGCATTAACCGGGGCACTGCCCTACCTTGGAGAATGTGGGACCATGCTGAGGACGTCTGGCTGGCTGTAGGTGGCTTGATTGGGGCCCCTGCTTCCTCTTTGTCTTCACCTTTATCCAGCTGAAGATGATCCGTCTTCTTTTTCTCCTGACATTTTTCAGTCTGTGATAGTAAGTAGGGTAGGAATGCATCCAATAAAAGACAGCTTTAGAAGGTCAAGGGGAGAAGCACCAGAAAGGAAAGAGTCCTTGGGATCTTTTATTTTTGCGGCGACGGCATAGGTTATAGTTTGGGCAACTGGAACCCACCAAGGCACACATGAAAAGCCAAATTATGGCTTGGATGTTCTGCTGAAACTGATCTGTTCATACTGCCTCTTTAATGGAAATACTGCTGTTTAAAGAGAGAGGAAGAGAAGGCTTTTTCAGCCTTTAGATGAGGTTTAACGCCAACTCTCTCTTGGCACTTGGCTGTCATCTTTGGACTCTATTTGAATGTGGGTTAAATCATAAGTAGTGTAAACATGTTTTGTTGTTACGGTTGTTTTTCCACAAGATTACCCTGCTACTGACCATCACTGGAGACTCACATCCCCTGCATCTTAGCCCTGAGCCATGCTTCCTTCCTCATCTTTTAAGGAAAGGCTAGTAGATTCAGTGGACAGGCATGCCTCAGAGAAATGAACATTGGTAGGGGCATTCGGGAGAAAACGTGCTTATTAACGAATGCCTATGGAGATCACCATTTACCAATTTTTATTTTCAGCGTAAGGAATGAATGATAAGTTAAGGGGGGGCGGGGAAAGCAGGAGGATAACCACATGTCTAGCATTTCCAATCCGGCTACAGAGCCTTAGTTTTCTAAGGACTCTTTCAGAGTTTTACCTCTGTGGAGCAGTCATCTTCTTTGGTACAGGACCACCACGTTTGAAACACTGCTGTCACAGAGGAAAAGACGTTTAAAAAGAATTTGGCCTGAAGAATAGGAACTCAGCTAGCATGCATACAAAATATAGTCAAGGTCACTAAATTAAAATATAACTGATTTAGGCCATGAGACATGGAACACAGTGGAGTGGTTATCCCAGGAGTTTAGAAAGACTCTACCTCCCGATATCTCGAATATCTCTGGCCTGATAACACTTTCTCCTCACGTGATCTCTATCTGTTGTGGGAGTGTGGCTACAACAGGACCGAAAAATGTGCTGCATTGCTAAGCGCTTCTTACTCTCACCTTTTCCCAATCGCAACTACAATAACACAAAATTTTCGAGTAATAAGGGGAGACCTATGGCAGAGGGAATAGAAAATCCTTGCCCAGCATTTAGTAGGAGATCAGAGTGAGCAGAAAGTTTCACAACAGATTGATCTGATCCATCCCTTCAAGGAGCTGAAGGCAAAATGTGTGAAACTCCTAAATGAGATTGAAAAGCCTATTTCATTGATATCTAACATGTTTGATGTTTAAGCCAGCTTTACATAAGCCTCGTCTCAGCCTCCAGAATACCTTCTCTGGGGTTGAGAGTTAATCAACTCACAAGCGTTCATGGAGTGCTCGCCTGCACAGAGGGGAACCCAGTGTCTCCATCAAAGAGAGATCTGGAGAAGAGGCTTAGATTCTTCTTACACCACCCTTGGCTTCATCTGTCTTGGGGGAAAAGACATCACTGGGGCCTCCCTTGTGCCAGAAACTTTGGGAGACCCTTTTTATGCCTCAGATCTAGTCACAAGAAGGTAGATAGTATTAGTCCCAATTAGATGAGGAAAGTGAGACCACAGACAATAAATAGCTTCCTCAAGGGTTGTGAGCTAGGTCTGGCTGACTGCAAAGGGCAAGCTCTTTTTTTCTCCATCATGTTTTCCATATGGGATAAAAGCTTCCTGCCAATCATGCTAGAAGCCACCTGTTATTGCCCAGAAGGGTTTGTCTCTAACCCGTGTGGGTGTGACAGCACCAAGCCAGCAGGGACCCAGAGCCATGTTGCCTTGAGTGAGTCCAGCCCCTTCCAAATCACTGACCCATCAAGGAGCTGAGACACTGATGACATTATAGGCAATTGTACTTTTTGAGCCATAGTTGGGGTGAGTTAAAGGGGCCGAGTAACTATCGCTTGTTAGTTGGTAGAGATGAGGCTCACAAAATATTAGCGTTTCCCTTCCTGATGATTTGTTCCTAAGGTAGTGGGGGAAGGAGGATTGCAGCTGGGATTCATGAGCAGCTTTTTCTCTGTCTTCCCATTTCGATGCTAGGATCTAATGCTGCTTAGAATGGCAGGGCTGCAAATTATCGTTCTGACTGTCACTGTGAAACAGACACACGAATACACATACATGCATACACACATGCACAATAACAATCCAGTGTTTTGTCATGTGGAAAATCAAAACAAGTTAGAAAGCGTTTAGATTGCTTCCTTTAAACTCACTTTACATTTTTGGCAGGGAATTCACGCATAGCTGAGACTTGGCGGCAGCCTCTGCTAACTTCACGCTGTTCCTTAGGCACCTCGGGATTTATATCAAAAGTCTCTCCTCGGCCTTGCTGCTGAAGGTGTGATGTATGGGGCTCCACTGGAGACCCGATATCAGGATGTTCAGAGGAGAAACCATCTCTTTGTATTGGCCCGAGGCCAGTGCTGAGCAAATTAAAAAGACAGACACGAGCTTCCTCCCTTGTATCATTTCATTCTAAAGCAGCACACTCATCCTCTCCCCGGGGTCCTATGTTGATAGAAAGGAAGAGGTGGGGACGCAGTTTGTTCTCTGAAAATCAGCTGCACACCTACATGCCAAGTGATGCTCAGCTCAGGGAAGGGATGTCAGTCAGCAGGAGGCCTCTGGGCCTAAGGATCCATGGGAAGCCAGCAGCCTTAAGACCTCAAACCAAAGCAATTCCAGATACATTAGTGTTAAAAGCCAAGAAGAGGCAATCAATCCATCAATCAATCAATCAATAATCCCTAAGTTCCGTGTCCTATCAGCTCCTACAATTCCCAGATAGACCTTCCTTTCCTTCTCTGGCAATGGCAACTCCAGTAACCACACTGGGATAAGATGTCGTGTGTGTGTGTGTGTGTGTGTGTGTGTGTGTGTGTGTGTGTGTGTGTGTGTGTTTAAATTATTATTAAGGTCTAAGGTACATACTATATATTCTGTCTCCTTTTAACTTTTTGGCAACTTACTTCTGACAAGTAGAGAAAACCTACCCTGAGAATTATTTGAATACTCTTTCTAATAATTGCTAACATTAGCAATCAGTGTTAGGCAACAGTTAAGGTTGTCACGTATATTATTAAAAATTATAAAAATCTGTTCCTTATCCTCTAAAGGAGGTAACTTTGTCAGAAATGGTTTGATCAAGGGTTTGAAATATAAGGACTTGTTCAAAAGTCTGACTGGAGGTCATATGAATACGGGGAAGAAGATCTACCAGACAGACCTAGCAAGGAGGTGAGCACAGATCATTAAAAAATAAATACAAGTCCATTAAGTAGGATTCCTATTTGGCTGCTTTAACAGAGAAACTCAAAATAATAGTGGCTTCAAAAGATTGAAGCAATTGCTTGCTTTAAAGACAAACTGGTCTGGTGTGTGATCTTACCAGAATCCCAGGCCCTCTCATTGCTATTTTATACTAATGTGCAGCTTCCAGCTCAAGGTCCGACATGGCTACTGCAGTTCCTGCCATCTCATTGTTAAGACAGCCGAGAGGAAGTGGAGAGAAGTTGTACATATGAGTTCCAGTCACATCTCATTGGCTAGGACCTAGCCATTAGATACATCTAGCTGCAAAGAAGGCCAGAAAATGCCATCATTATTGGTTGCGACGTGCCTTGATACATATAAGGGTTCTATTATTAAAGAAACAATGTGAAAATTAATACTGATCAAAACTATCAGTCTCTGACACAAAAGGAAATTGAAGAATATTTCAAGTGCTTTTCAATGTCATCTATTTCGTCATCTATTTTGCAAAGGCTAAGATAGAAATTTGTAACTTTGTATTTCATGCTTTTCGAAACATTTCTACATCTAGTATGTCTCATTTGATCTTTACTACATTCTTGCATATAAAATAGGACCTCTATTCATTAATCCCATTCAGTAGTTTGACGTGGAGATTCAGGGATGTTGAGCGATTTCCTAAAGCGTCTATAGCTTATTAACGAGACAGGCGCTCAGAGCCCCAGTCTTCTGACTTCATATTTTCTCCTGCTTCATGCTCGTCATCAGTATTGGGATTGAGAATAGCAAGAATATGAAATCTAAATCTTTATTGATTTATATCTTCTCCTACCTTCTCACGGAACCGCAGTGACTTAGAAAGTGCTAAGGAGGGGGGTAGAGTTGGCTCTCAACCCCCTGCCTCCAGGGAGAGACCCTCTTATTAGGAGTGAAATGTCCAAGAGATGGACAGTGTTGCAGGGAGATCTCGAAGCACGACCACTCAAACACCTCTAGTTGGAGGTCCACCCCATCCAATCCAAAAACTATTCAAGAAGAAGCCTGGGCTTCCCTGGTGGCGCAGTGGTTGGGAGTCCGCCTGCCGATGCAGGGGACACGGGTTCGTGCCCCGGTCCGGGAAGATCCCACATGCCGCGGAGCGGCTGGGCCCGTGGGCCATGGCCGCTGAGCCTGCGCGTCCGGAGCCTGTTGCTCCGCAGGGGGAGGAGCCACAACAGTGAGAGGCCCGCGTACCGCAAAAAAAAAAAAAAAAAAAAAGATGAAGCCTAAGGGAACGTGCCCACAACTCCTTAGGGAAGCTCAGTGTAGAAATATTTAGAATCAGTAGCAGCCTGAATAGAGAAGCTTCATGGGAGATCAATAGAACTCCTGCTCAAAATATCTCCCTTCTCGACTTCTTCCCCGGGTCCATGGGATTTTATCAGCAACATACTGTTTGGGTTCTTGATTTTATTTGGTGTTAAATGAGTCCCTTTGCACATTTGCCGGGGAAAGGAAATGCTTTAAGTTGTCATGAGCTACCATCTTCGCACAGAGGTTTCATCTCATTCCTCAGCATCCCTGACCTCTAGCTGAGAAACAGCGGCCATAGGATGGGATCATGCAGAGGTGGGGTTTGGGAGAGTAGGGGTAACTGTGGAGGAAAGTATGGCTTCTAAAAGGGGGCAGGTCTTTCAAAGGTGGAAAGATGAGGAATTAAACAAGTGCCAGGGAATATGGAAACACAGAAAAGTAACTTAATGTAGTTTCTATCCTCAGGGTCAAGGGCAGTCTGGAGCCACGTGGACTGATTCTTTTGGCCACTGAAAAGAGCAGGAAAGGCATGAGGCTCGTGAGACAGGACCAGAGCATTGCGATGGTTTTAGGGACTGAATTGGAGTTGGAGCAAAGAGAAAGCTGGGTCAGACTTAGGCAGAGTACTGTGATCTGATCACAGCTGTGTCTCTAAGGTTTTTCTTTTCCATAGTTACTATACGTCCACCGGTCAGCAGAGCTCCAGCTGAAAGTCTGCAGGTGGGTACTGGGGCTGGCTGAGT